TCTCGTCTCTCTCTCCTCTCTTCTTCTCTTCTTCTTACTTACTACTACTCTCTCTCTCTATCTCTCTCTCTCTCTCTCTCTCTCTCTCTCTCTCTCTCTCTCTCTCTCTCGTTCGCAACTCGTAAACATTCATGGACTGATATCTTATACGTATTTCCCACGATATTGTGTCAACCAGTAACGCTATTACGAATGTGTGTCACAGCTACGAGTGAGTGCATGCACTCGAGAGGCCAGCACTGCGCGCGTAAACCGACTGCACGTGTCAATCTAATGCGCAACCCGACGCCCGAATTCCCTTCCACTTACAACGCTACGTTTCACCGACACACGCCGGTCGCACGCGACGACAACAGCGCCAACACTGCTCCCTCGCGGGCGATCACAGCGGCATCTAGTGTACGATAATGTAATTATTTCTAAACCGCCGCCAGAATTTTCGAGGGGGTACTTATGTTGATTACGGCCCATTATCCGACGCCAAGCGCAGATGCCGACTATAAACGCAGCTGTCGGGAGCTGTTACGTGTATTACGCACGCGGTGGCAAATCTTACGAGGCTATCTGTGTGATGGAGCGACGGGCTGGGGTGAGTTGGTTATATCAACTTGCGTATGCTTATACGCACACCGCGGGGTCCTATATATATATAATGGAGTCTGCGGTTATTGTCCTGCTATCAGTCGTCACGGCGTGGATGATGTTGATGCTACACGCATCGTGGTTTGCGGGAATGTTTGACTGAGTGGAAGTCTGTGTGCGTGAGTAGATGGGTTGATGGTTAAGTGAGTGGGTGCGTAAGGCACAGGCAGACACACACACACACACACACACACACACACACACACACACACACACACACACACACACACACACACNAGGTGAAACACGCTATGTACAGGTGAAACACGCTATGTACAGGTGAAACACGCTATGTACAGGTGAAACACGCTATGTACAGGTGAAACACGCTATGTACAGGTGAAACACGCTATGCACAGGTGAAACACGCTATGTACAGGTGAAACACGCTATGTACAGGTGAAACCCGCTATGTACAGGTGAAACACGCTATGTACAGGTGAAACATGCTATGTACAGGTGAAACACGCTATGCACAGGTGAAACACGCTATGTACAGGTGAAACATGCTATGTACAGGTGAAACACGCTATGTACAGATGAAACACGCTATGTACAGGTGAAACACGCTATGTACAGGTGAAACATGCTATGTACAGGTGAAACATGCTATGTACAGATGAAACACGCTATGTACAGGTGAAACATGCTATGTACAGGTGAAACACGCTANGAAACACGCTATGTACAGGTGAAACACGCTATGTACATGTGAAACACGCTATGTACAGGTGAAACATTCTCGTTGTGAACAGATAAGAAATTTACGCTGTGGACAGGTGTTATATTCACGTACAGAGAAAACATCCATAAACGTTCACAGCATTTACCTTGACGACGTCCGATGTTGTCGCTGATGTGGTATCCTTGTGCCGTAGATCGCTGTCTTTGCAAGCCGGAAGGCAGGCACGGGCTCGGCGGCGGAAAGACGCAAGAAGGACCTGTCGACATTGAACGATGTCCGTCCGGCCGACTTTCCGGTGTCGTCATCGTCTGTGATGACACCGTCCAGGTAGAACATCTCGTCGGCGTCAACGTCGCCGTCGGCTACGTTTATCGACCTGTGCTGTCGCTGGACGTCGTATGGCCCGCTGGCGCTCACTGTGTGTGCGTAGACAATAATGAAATGTATAGTAGATAATGCGAGCACGTTTAGTTAGCTGGGGAAGTGGCGAGTAAGGATTGCCATTTATTTGTCGTTTGCGAGAGCGAGAGAAGGAAGAGCGGAAAACGAGCAGCAGAGAGCGAGAGTGCGAGGATCGGAGGAGTTGGGAGACCGATACATAGGTCCTATATATATATATATATATATATATATATATA